TTGCTCTTCCCCAGTTGATGTCTCCATTCCTGTGTGCCTCTAAGTGAATGAGCATCTTGCTATGCTGAGTATGTTAAAGTCTTGTTCGTATCGTATTTTCCTTAACACAAGGAGATATTTTGTGTTTACTTGAAGAAACAGTGATTTCTTTATTGAGATGGTTTTGATAGTTTTTAAAAAAGGGATTTTCAAGGATAGTTTTGATTAGATGTGGTTTTTACCTGAAGTACTGACTTTAAACTCCAAGATTTGACTTTACTAGTTCACTCAAGTGTCACAAACTTTCTGCCACTGTACATGAAGTATTTTATCTTGCCTTTGTGCTGGCATTCTTGTGAAAAGCAAGTGGCATTTAGGACTAGCATTCTTTGACTTATGATGTGGAAGTGTGTAAAAACATAGAAGGGAAGCAGAGAAGGGAAAATTAACATTTGATGTATTTATAGCTGATTTATCTCATTTTTGATGTTGGAAATGGATAGATGCAGGGTAGGGTGTTTTTGGTTAGGTTAACGCCTGTCTTTTTTGTTAACTCTTTGTAATGATTCCAGGGTGTAATTATGTTCTATAAGACGAGTTTCTTCTTTTAATTTTTTTTTTTTGACCTTTAGAGTGGTGGACATGACAACAAGGTCAATTGCATACAGTGGCATCAAGACAATGGCTGTTTATATAGTTGTTCAGATGATAAACACATTGTGGAATGGAATACACAGACATGCAAAGTAAAGTGGTGAGTAACATTGATGGTTCTATGGTATTGGAGGGGTAACTTGGTTACTGTTGGGAATTCATTAGAGTTTGATAAATCAAGACTATTCTTGGCTGTAGGTAAAGTCTGATATTGGACACAGGGAATGTAGATACTAATGAGGGTATAGACTTTTCAGGGAACTTTAAATCAAATCAGGCATGCAAGATTTTAGTACATAAACATTAAATAAATGATGCAAGAGTCAAATAACTGCACAAGAGGAAACATAAGGTAGCAAGTAATTACTGGTCAAATGAGGTGGATAGTGTTGGCAAGGCCTGGTGGAAGAGAAGGGATTTCAGTTGGGCGTTCTGGGAGAGGTATTATTTGGATAGAAGAGGATGGGGGAAGGAAGGTGGGGAAATGGCAAGACCAAAGTCTGGGGAAAAAGGAAGTGAAAGATTGGAAGATTTACGTACTAGGGAATAATGACTGGTAGAGGATGTGGGCCAAAGTATATTAAGAATCTGGCATTAACTGTCATAGATAAAAAATCTCAACCAACTCTTCCAGTTTCAAGCATGTAATCCTGTGATAGGCTTTATAGTAAGTGTTCAGTAAGTGTTGAATTAGTTCAACTTGTGTAGATAAGGACCCTAAGAAGGATAATGGTGCCTGTGGTCTTATAACTAATAAATGGCAGGGAAGGAGTTCATATCCTGCTGTCTTGAATTCTGGTACAGTGCTTTTCTACTATATTAAAACTACTTAGAGGTTTGGATTCTATGTCGTAAGCAGGAGAGAGCCACTGAAGGTCATGTCTTGGGAATAAAGTCACCAAGATAACGCTTTAGGAAAAGGTGATCTGCCAGCACTGTCTAGAGTATATGGAAAGGAGCAGGTTCAAAGGCAGAGAAGCCAGATTCTAGGTGGTTGTGGTAGTTTAAATGTAGGATGGTAAGAGTGGAAAGTGAGAATGAAGAAGATAGCAACAAGTACATTTGGGGAGCCTGAAAAGGGGAATTAAATGACAAAAGAAGTTAAATGTAACCATTTTCAGTTTTGTGAACTTACTAGGCAAGTGGTGTGGCACAGTTCATAGAAATTATAGCCAGAAGAGGGAAATGGATGTTGAGTTTTAAACAAGTTGAATTTGAAATAATACATGAAAGTCAAGAGCCAGCAGATGGGGTGGTGAATAGAGGCTTAGAATTTGAATGAGGGTTTGGGGTGGGAGGTGCAGATGAATAGGTCATCTCCCTAGAGGTTCAGTAAGTTTTTGTCTCCATTTATCTGTTGCATCAGTTTCCACACCGATGACTGTCAGAAACACCTGTGGAGATTCCCACCCACTGGGTCTGGGGTGGGGGCCACACAACTGTATTTTTAAAATGCTGCATGGGTGAAAGTTCACAATGTTAGGTGCTTCATATAGGGACTAATGTTTTTAAGGCTCTGTTCAGTGCATTCTACACAGTATTGTATTTAACCATAGCACTGTGAGCGGGCTCTGTTCCTGTTTTACAGTTGAGAAATGGTTGGGTCAGAGCCTGAGCTCTCATGCACACTACTATCTCATAGTGTTGTGTTTCCAGCTCCATTCTTGGCATTCCTATGCTGCTGTCAGTGGATTGTGTACCATTTTAGGTGCTATGTATTGACTTCTATGGACGATGACGATTTAGTTCTCACCCTCTCCATTCTCCCAACATCACAGTTTTTTTTTTTTTTTTTTTAAAGTTTATTTTTGAGAGAGCATGAGCCAGGGAGGGGCAGAGACAGAGGGAGACACAGAATCCCAAGCAGGCTCCAGGCTCTGAACTGTCAGCACAGAGCCCGACGTGGGGCTTGAACTCACGAACTGTTAGATCATGACCTAAGCCTAAGTTGGACGCTCAACTGACTGAGCTACCCAGGCGCCCCATCACAATTTTTTGATGAAGGGCTATTTGTTTGCATTATGACTGCTTAAATATTATTACAGATAAGCCTTGTACTCTACTAGGTTTATATTTTTTGGCACAAAACTCTGCTTTTCTTGGGGTTTATAATTTCCTTGTTGTTCATTTGCTTAGTTTTCTATATACTTGTCGTTAGCTCGTTTTCACCCTCACAGTTGCATGTTATTTTGGAGCACATCAGTTATTCAGTTAATTATATTATATTTCTTGGAGGACTTCTCAGTCACCTTTCAAGGTCTGCTGAACAGTGAGGATCCTGGGATTTTCTTACATTATTATCCTGAAAATTCTCTTGTCAAATGGAACCTCTATTTCCTAGATCCCATTTTTCTCTTTGTTGGGTTACTCTCTTTTTTGTGAAACACATGAATTGGTGGCTTCATAAGAAAAGTGTGTTGATGGTAAATTTACTGAGATTTTGCTTGTCCACCAGCGCCTTTATTGTACCCTCACAGTTAATTCTAGTTTGAAGATCTGGAATTTTAGGTTGGAAGTAATTCTCCTTCAGGATTTTGAAGCATTGGTTCATTGGTTATTTTTTCTTCATTTTTGAAGAAAATTGCTCTTCATTTTTCTTTCTTCTTTTTTTTAGTGTTAATTTATTTTGAGAGAGTGAGTGTGAGCAGGGGAGGGGCAGAGAGAGAGACAGAAACCTCAAGCAGCCTCCCTGCACTCAGTGCAAAGCCCTGGGCTGGAGAGGGGAGTGGGGCTCTGTCATGAACCGTGAGATCATCATGACCTGAGCCAAAATCAAGAGTTGATGCTTAACCAACTGAGCTACTCAGGCACTCCTTCATTTTTCTTGTAGCATGTATTTGATAATTTCATCTTCTCTGTTTTTTTGATCTTTCTCTAGTACTGTCTGTTGTAACTTAGATATTGCATCTCCTGGACTGATCCTTTAGGTTTCTTTGTTCTCTCTTAGTTTCCCTTTTGTCTTTTTCTTCTGTTACCAGGGAGATTGCCTCAGTTTTACCTTCCAAATTTTCTATTGAAATTTTACATTTCTCTAACCATATTTTTAATTTCTGGGAGATTTGTTTTTTGTTCTTTTAATGTTTCTTTTTGTTGCATCATGTTTCTTTCATGGATATAATATTTTCTAACTCTCTGAAGATAATAATTATGGGATTTTAAAGTATTTTTCTTTTGTTCCTAACATCATTTCCCTCTTGAGGATGTGTTGATTTTTGTTTGATTTTAGCTTCTGTCTTTTATGTTAGTTAAAGGCATTCTTGAAATGACGGGGGATCCTTGGCTGCCTGTTGCTATTTGAAAATGAAACATGAAGAAACTGATTGGAAGCCTTGTGTAGGTGGCAGCTCAATTGCTGGGCTTCATTTGTGGAGTGAGGGGGAAGCCTTTGAATGTCAGTATATGTGGGTTATTACCTTGGCACCGGTCACATTTCCTAGAGAGGAGTCTTCTGATCTAGTGCTTTTCAAGCTCTGATGTGCACGTGAGTTACATATGCAGATAGAACTGATTTAGTAGGTCTAGGTCGGGTTTGGGAGTCCATTCTTAGTTCCCAGGTGATGCTGGTGTAGGAGGTTACACTTTGAGTTGCAGAGCTCTTAATGGAGGCTGGGGAGGGAGCTCAGCAGTGGTGTTATCTCTTTGCTAGCATTTTCAGTGCCGAGTGAGGAGATGGATTCAGGGACACTTGTCGGGGTGGTGATCATGTCTTTTTTTTATATGTATATTAAGTGAATAGGGGTTGAATAATGAATATAAAATGTTGAAGCTGTGGGAATTGTTGAGAAATTATCAAAAATGTTAGCAACTGAAAAAAGGGTGAAGGAAAAATGTCCTGTATTCTGCATTTCCTTGATTACTAGTAAGGGTGAGTGTTTTCATGTTTATTGACAATTTGTATTTCTTCTATGAATGCCTGTTTATATCTTTTGTGTATTTTTGAGTTTTTTTTAAATCTGATCTAGTTCTTGAATATAAAGAGCTGTTTATGTATTCTGAGTATTAATCTTTTTCCTGTAGTATATATTTTTGATATTTTCTAGCTTTTTGGTTTTAAATTTATGACTTATTTTGTGGTACAGAAGTTTTACTTATTTAGATCAGGTTATTTTTACCATTATGATTTCTGGTTTGTAATTGCTTTGGAAGGCCTTTCCTAAAACTGGCTTATAAAAACACTCTCCTGTGCACTTTTTAATACTTATTTTTAATCTGTTAGCTTTAGTTTAGTCAAGTTTTTTGTGTGTGTAGTAGAAGAGAGGAATCTACTTTTGTTTTTCCAAATGAGTAGTTTGACATACTCCAATGTGATTGGCAGAGCAGTGTGTTTTCTTTTACTTTATAATTCATGTCTTTTGGTAAGAGGATTGCTACTGTTATTTCTTGATTTTATAAGTGAATAACCAAGCTCCTTGTTTATAAAAATATTAATGTGTGCAACAAAGTACAAAGACTCATGCCAATCATATTTCAGGTATTAGAAGGGGATCATCTATACTTGACTTATTTTACTCTGTCAGATGGAAGTGCACCTATGTTGATTTGAGGTAGAAATGACCTTTTTGGACTGTAGCTTGAGAAGTAATTTGTGCTGCTAAGTAAATTAAAGGCCAGGCTTCCGCATAGTGTGGGAACCATGGTGGGGATAGGATGGACTTGGGGAGGTCCAGCCAGCCAGGTAGTTTCCTGGGCATTAACAAAATCCACCTCATACACAGGATACACAGCTACCCATTTTTGTATTCTTAAATCTCTTACTCATCCATTTTCTGGTACCTCTTGAAAATCTTTGGGTAGGCTTTACCTTAGTGTTAGATTCAAAGTTAGTCACCTTACACAGGCTTTTAGGGAATAATTGCATGGAACCTTAAGTGATATTTTTAATACCTTATTTGTTTTTTGTTACTTTTTTGCTCTGAATAAAGTTTTCTCCCCATTCATGGAGATGTTTCTGTTTCTCTTCACTTTACAGCAAATGGAAAGGTGACAACAGCAGCGTCAGTTCCCTGTGTATTAGCCCAGATGGAAAGATGTTGCTTTCAGCTGGTCGAACAATCAAACTATGGGTTTTGGAGACCAAAGAAATCTACAGAGTGAGTGAATCAAATTAGTTGTAAGCCTAACATTTGTCTAGAGTAAGTATGGAGAAGGGCAGAAAGTCTGAGCCATAGAATGTCATTTTAAGAGTACAGATTTGTTATTTTCAGGCATATCAAATAGTAGACTCAGAAGATGAAAGTTAGCTTCCAAATCCGGTGTGTTGATGTTTAATAGGTTAGATGTGTCCGTTTCACATGCATTTGAGAAATGAATAGAACAAATAAGTAGAATGTGAATTAAAAATCTTTTACTCTGCTGTATAATGATATAGTAGGTTTGATTTCTTTCTTGCATCTTGTGTTTACTACGTTTGCAGTATTTGACTATGGGGATATGTAGTATTATATTTTTGAGTGTGCTACGGGGTGTATATTTGGTGCTGTGATGATGCCTTAAAATTGTGGTTTCGACTCACTGAGAGTAAAATGAAGACCTACAATTCCTTGGCTGTGTCTGAGCACCCAGGCGCCCCTTAAACATGGATAGAATTAAGCGGGTCTTTAATGCAGGATGGAAAAAATAAAGATTGTGGGTAGGGCCATGGGAGTTGTTAGGGCATAGTGATTTTCAGATGGAGTTTTAATTATTTATTTTTTTTATTAAAATTTTCTTTAATGTTTATTTTTGAGAGAGAGAGAGTATGAGCAGGGCAGGGGCAGAGAGAGAGAGAGAGGGAGACACAGAATCTGAAGCAAGTTCCAGGCTCTGAGCTGTCAGCACAGAGCCTGACGTGGGGCTCGAACCCGTGAACCACAAGATCATGACCTGAGCTGAAGTCAGAGCCTTAACTGACTGAGCCACCCAGGCACCCCTCAGGTGGAGTTTTTGAAAGTACATGGAATGTAGCACAAATAATCTCAGTTGCTTAGAATTAAATTTAGCTGTTACCTTTAGTCTGGACTTCTGATTTCATATATGGATCATCTGTATTGTTTATGGTCCATAAGGACTCTTCACTTTTGTCACCGTTCTGTGTCCTCTCCTAAACGAGACTGAACTCTCTCTAGCACTTCACAGGACATGCAACGCCTGTTTCCTCACTCGTCTTCACTACTGTCAGACCTCCTAGTGAGAGCCAGCCCTTTGATGGGGTCACAGGCCTTTATTTCCTGTCAGGAGCAGTGCATGACCGGCTACTTAACGTCTGGTATGTAGTCTTGGGCCTGGGAGGTAGCGTTGCCTTGAAGGAATCTGTCACAGCTTGTATGGATAATATAAATGATGAATGTGAGACTTGCTTTATTGTATTTAACGTTAGATTTACCTTGACTTGTAATGAAGAATTGAGCCTGCCTAAAAAACCGACTTTATGAGAAAAATTTAAGAGCATTGTATCATAGTACCACATCCTTGCTTGCTTAGAGGTAGAGGAGTCTGAATATGGCAAGTTATAAATAACCTTCTTAAAAAATTTTAGGATAATGTCTAATTTTCTTGAAAAAGGACCATTGGGTTAGTGCAGTAATGTCTATTTACTGATGTTTTACTGAGGACATTTAATTTCTTGGATATGTCTAAGAATGCCCAGTAGTGCCCCCCTTTTTTCTTCTTCCCTTTTTTGCAGTAATTGCTGTTACTATTTTTCCTTGGAACTACTTTTTTTTTTTTTT